CCAGGTGTGCAAGTAGCCCAAGCAGCGAGAAAAAGAGAAGAGAAAGAAGAGAAAGAAGAGAGGGAAGAAATAATATCTGATATGCAGGTTGCATTTTAAGTCACTGGACCATATTTGGCACAAATACCCGATACACCCAAATTTGAATACTGGTGGGGTTGAGGGTGATTGATTTTGTCATTTGGGAATGCTGGAGTTGCTGGGATTTATAGTTCACCTAAAATCAAAGAGCCTTCTGAACTCCATCAATGATGGAATTGAATCAAACATGGCACACAGAATTCCCATGACCAAGAGAAAATACTGGGAGGGTCTGGTGGACATTGACCTTGAGTTTTTGGAGTTGTAGTTCACCTACACCCAGAGAACACTGTGGACTCAAAGCAATGATGGATCTGGATCAAACTTGGCACAAATACTCAATATGCCCAAATGTGAACACTGGTAGAGTTTGGAGAAAATAGACCTTGCCATTTGGGAGTTGTAGTTGTTGGGATTTATAGTTCACCCACAATGAAATAGCATTCTGAACCCCACCAACAATAGAATTAGGCCAAACTTCCCACACAGAACTCCCATGACCAACAGAAAATACTGTCTGTGATGGTCTTTGGCGATCCCTCTGGCACCCCTTCGCGACCCCTTCAGGGGTCCCGATCCCCAGGTTGAGAACCACTGCTCTATGCTGACGATCGCGCCATCAACGCTCAAGCAGAGAGCTTTGAAATGGTTGAGCAGAAGCTCTCTGAAATTTAAGGCGTTCTTACTGCCTATTACAAGAACAACCAGGTTGCTCCATCAAGGTTTAACATTTACACAAATGAGCAGCCACTGCCAAAAGGGACAGAGAGTTTCATCTATGCTGACGACCATGCCATCACCGCACAAGCAGGGAGCTTTGAAATGGCTGAACAGAAGCTCTCTGAAGCTTGAGGTGCTCTTACTGACTACTAAAAGGAAAAACAGGTTGCACCATCAAGGTTTAACATTTACACACATGACCAGCCACTGCCAGAAGGCACAGAAAGTTTCACTTATGCTGACAATCATGCTATCACCGCACAAGCAGGGAGCTTTGAGATGGCTGAACAGTTCTCCGAAGCTTTAGGTGCTCTTACTGCCTACTAAAAGGAAAACCAGGTTGCTCCATCCATGTTTAACATCTACACAAATGACCAGCCACTGCCAGAAGGCACAGAGAGTTTCCTCTATGCTGACGATCATGTCATCACCGCTCAAGCAGAGAGCTTTGAAATGGTTGAACAGAAGTTCTCTGAAGCTTGAGGTGCTCTTAAGGTAAAGGTAGTCCCCTGACATTAAGTCCAGTCATGTCTGACTCTGGGGTGTGGTGCTCATCTCCATTTCTAAGCCGAAGAGCCGGCGTTGTCCGTAGACACCTCCAAGGTCATGTGGCCGGCATGACTGCATGGAGCACTGTTACCTTCCCACCTGAGCGGTACCTATTGATCTACTCACATTTGCATGTTTTCGAACTGCTAGGTTGGCCGAAGCTAGGGCTGACAGCGGAAGCTCACGCCGCTCCCCGGAATCGAACCTGCGACCTTTCGGCCAACAAGCTCAGCAGCTCAGCGCTTTAACCCACTGCGCCACCTTACTGCCTACTAAAAGGAAAACCAGGTTGCACAATTAGTGTTTAATATTTACACAAATGACCAGCCACTGCCAAAACGGACAGAGAGTTTCCTCTTTGGATCACCCCCAATGCCTGCTTTGAACCGAGTTACCTGAGTCCAGACTGGCATGTAACCCAGTCCCATGTGGATGGGATACAGGCGTGTGGAGGGGGCCCAAAGGGAGCCCCCAAGGAGTAAACAATCCCCCTCCACTGGCATTCCTGAGGGCGGGGGTGGCCTTGGGGGAGGGAAGGAGGAAGACCCGCCCCCCTCAGAGGGGGGAATGATTGACAGCGAGGGTTTAAAGGGGAGGGGGGGAATTTGGAGAGAGGGAGGGAGGGGAAGAAAGAAGCCGAGGCCTAAGAGGCCAGGCCTGCCTTACCTGCCCGGAGAGGCCTGGCTGAGAGAGAGAGAGAGAGAGAGAGGCCCAGGCGCGCTCCCTTCCACTCTCACTCTCTGAGGCGCGATTTGGAACTCAAGGGGGAAACTCCAGGCCCAGGCGCGCCCCCGAGGCACGCCCCCGCCGCCGCCGCGCGCCCCCGCCCCCTTCAGGGAAAGAGCCAGCAGCACTCCAAACTCTCCTCTCACAGGGAGCGTGCGTGCGCGCGAGCGAGCGAGAAAGGGAAAGAGAGAGAGGAGAAGGCGTACGTGCGCCGTGCGTGCGCGCTCCCGCCCCTCGCTAAGAAGCTTGCCACGCAGGCCGCTCCTTGCTAGCCCCGCCCCCTACTTTCCGCTCCTGTCTCAAACTCAAGCGTTTCTCTCTCTCTCTCTATCGCGCATGCGTGAGAGGGAAAAGTCGGAGTCGAAGAGGCGTGGCTTCGTCGTGGCCCCGCCCCTTCTCGTTTCCCTCCAAGACTGACACTCTCTCTCTCTCTCTCTCTCTCTGTGTCGCGCGCGCGTGTGCGCATGCGTTTGATTACAAAAGGGAAATGAAGGGGAGAAAGGAGGCGTGGTTTCTTTGTGGCCCCGCCCCTTCTCGTTTCCCTCCAAGACTGACACACATTCTCTCGCGTGTGCGCATGCGTCTGAGAAGGAAGGAGTCAAGGAAATGAAGGGAAAGGGGGCGTGGTCTCCTTGTGGCCCCACCCCTTCTTGTTTCCCTCCAAGATTGACACACACTTGCGTGTGCGCATGCGTCTGAGAAGGAAGGAGTCAGGGAAATGAAGGGACAGGCGTGGTTTCTTTGTGGCCCCGCCCCTTCTCGTTTCTCTCCAAGACTGACACACACTCTCTCGTGTGTGCGCATGCGTCTGAGAAGGAAGGAGTCAGGGAAGTGAAGGGAAGGGGGCGTGGTTTCTTTGTGGCCCCGCCCCTTCTCGTTTCTCTAAGACTGACACACATTCTCTCTCGCGTGTGCGCATGCGTCTGAGAAGGAAGGAGTCAGGGAAATGAAGGGACGGGGGCGTGGTTTTTTTGTGGCCCCGCCCCTTCTCGTTTCCCTCCAAGATTGATACACACTCGCGTGTGCGCATGCGTCTGAGAAGGAAGGCTTCTGGATTAGAAAAGGGAAATGAAGGGAGAGAGGGGGCGTGGTCTCCTTGTGGCCCCGCCCCTTCTCATTTTACCTCTATTCGTTCCTGTCAAAAGACACTCTCTGGAGCGCGCATGCGCATGGGAAGGAAGGCATCAGTTTGGTATATTTTAAGGAGGCGTGGCTTCGCTGGTGGCCCCGCCCCCTTCTTATCCTTTCTCTCCGTTCCCGTCTAAAAGAGAGGCTGACTCGCGCATGCGCGTGAGGATAGGAAGGCGGAGCCGGATTGGAGAAATGAGGAGAGGGTGTGGGGCGTGGCTTCGGGAAGGGGCGTGGCTTATTAATGGGTCTGTTGGAAACTAGGCAAGATGCCCAGAAGGGCAGGAAGCAGCCAGGCTTTGAAGCTGCAAGGGCATTCAATGCTAATTTTTTTATTATTATGTTATTATTTCACCTTGTCCATTTGGCCTGCCCATCTTGTTCGACTTTATTTTGTGTGAATTTGCTTTATTATTTTACTTTGCTGTTGTAATTATCTTCCGGTGTAATTTTCTTTCTGTATTCTGTATTTAATGTGTTGTATTGCGTTTTTGGACTCGGCCTCATGTTAGCTGCCCCGAGTCCCCATTGGGGAGATGGTGGCGGGGTATAAATAAAGATTATTATTATTATTATTATTATTATTATAAAACCCCTGTGCCAGCAGGACTGAAGAGTGACAGGTCGCAGGTTCGAATCCGGGGAGAGGCGGATGAGCTCCCTCTATTAGCTCCAGCTCCTCATGCAAAGGGAACATGAGAGAAGCCTCCCACAAGGATGGTAAAAACACCAAATCATCCAGACATTGTCCCCTGGGCAACATCCTTGCAGACGGTCAATTCTCTCACAACAGGAGCGACTTGCAGTTTCTCAAGTTGCTCCTGACATGACCAAAAAAAATTATTATTATTATTATTATTATTATTATTATTATTATCAAGGTGACCAGCTGCACCATTCAAACTTGCCTCCAACAGACAAGAGTCCTTTCTCCCACCCTGGACATCATTCCAAAGGTATATAAGTCCAACTTGACCAATTTCTGACAAACCCCTCAACCTCTGTGGGAAAAACGTCAGGAGAGAATGCTTCCAAAACATGGCAAGGCAGCCCAGAAAACATACAACTACCCAGTGAAACCTTATGAAGTCAATACGGACTTTAGGAGGGTCTCCCCAGTAAGAGAGACCCCTAGGACTGCACCAAAGAGGGCCCATGACCTTGGCGAGCCATCAGAGAAGCCTGATTCCAGCAATTTTATTGATATTAATAATTGAAATGAGACTCTTGCCAAGGCGAAGAAGAGGCATCAAGGTTTAATGAGCGATTCAGCTGAAGCGGATGCAATTGCAGTGATCATTCACATGCAAGCATCCCAGTTCATTGATCAGAGGCATATTTATAGCAAAATACAGGTTTGGAAGTTTCAAAACTTCCTCCCTCTGCCCTCCAATGGGAGAGCTTTCCCTGCTTCAGCGCCTTGAGAGAGGCGGGATGGAAACAGAAACAATGAGCCGGCAAATTTATTTATTTATTTATTTATCGTGTCATCAGCAACCATTGTGTTACAATTCTAACAGAGCAAAACAAACACACAGATTAAAAAGAAAAAGGGAAAAAAACACACAGAGATTTTGCAAATTTGGTATTTGGTTAAATGTCCTTTGACCAGTATCTGGCCCCTTGGAGTGCCTCTGGGGTTGCCGCAAGAAGGTCCTCCATTGTGCATGTGGCAGGGCTCAGGGTGCATTGCAGCAGGTGGTCAGTGGTTTGCTCTTCTCCACACTCGCATGTCGTGGATTCCACTTTGTAGCCCCATTTCTGAAGGTTGGCTCTGCATCTCGTGGTGCCAGAGCGCAGTCTGTTCAGCGCCTTCCAAGTCGCCCAGTCTTCTGTGTGCCCAGGGGGGAGTCTCTCATCTGGTATCAGCCCATGGATTGAGGTTCTGGGTTTGAGCCTGCCACTTTTGGACTCTCGCTTGCTGAGGTGTTCCAGCGAGTGTCTCTGTAGATCTAAGAAAACTATTTCGTGATTTAAGTCATTGACGTGCTGGCTGATACCCAAACAGGGATGAGCTGGAGATGTCTCTGCCTTGGTCCTTTCACTATTGGCTGCTACTTCCCGGCGGATGTCAGGTGGTGCAATACCGGCTAAGCAGTGTAATTTCTCCAGTGGTGTAGGGCGCAGGCACCCCATGATAATGCAGCATGTCTCATTCAGAGCCACACCCACTGTTTTAGCGTGGTGAGATGTGTTCCACATTGGGCATGCATACTCAGCAGCAGAGTAGCATAGCGCAAGGGCAGATGTCTTCACTGTGTCTGGTTGTGATCCCCAGGTTGTGCCAGTCAGCTTTCGTATGATGTTGTTTCTAGCACCCACTTTTTGTTTGATGTTCAGGCAGTGCTTCTTGTAGGTCAGAGCACAGTCCAAAGTGACTCCCAGGTATTTGGGTGCACTGCAATGCTCCCGTGGGATTCCTTCCCAGGTAATCCTCAGAGCTCGTGATGCTTCTCTGTTCTTAAGGTGAAAGGCGCATGTCTGTGTTTTAGATGGATTAGGGATCAGCTGGTTTTCCCTCTCATAGGCGGTAAGAGCACCTAGAGCTTCGGAGAGCTTCTGTTCAATCATCTCAAAGCTCCCTGCTTGAGCGGTGATGGCACGATCATCAGCGTAGATGAAGCTCTCTGTCCCTTCTGGCAGTGGCTGGTCATTGGTGTAAATGTTGAACATGGATGGAGCAAGCACGCTCCCCTGAGGCAGGCCGTTCTTCTGTTTCCGCCATCTGCTTCTCTGGCCCTGGAACTCAACAAAGAAGCTCCTGTTTTGTGGCAGGTTTCCTATGAGGCGGGTGAGGTGGTCGTCCTTGGTGAGATTATACATTTTTCTCAGGAGGAGGCAGCGGTGGTTCACAGTATCATAGGCTGCTGACAGGTCTATGAAGACCGCTCCGGTGATCTGCTGCCTTTCAAAGCCATCTTCTATGTGCTGAGTCAGGTTCAGCACTTGCGATGTGCAGCTTGTGCCTTTCCTGAAGCCAGCTTGCTGTGGAATCAGACAGGGGTCTATTTTTTCCATAATTCTATGCAAAATAAGTCTCTCCAGAACTTTGTAGAGGTGGCACAACAGGGAGAATGGATGCGATGCCCAGTCTATTGTCCTTGAGTGGAGTTGCGATGATCCTTGATTACTTTCATCCTGGCCTTCCTGCCACAATCAGATAAGGCACAAAAGGGGAGGCTGGGGATGTGTCCGGTTCTGAATGAAGTCTCCTATTGTGAAATGGCCAAAAGTCTGCAGAAGGAAATCCCCAGGCCGATGGCCTTAATCCTGGAGTTTAGAGTTTCCAGGTTCTATTGTAGTTTCTTTTGTTGCCCCTGATTGCCCTTTCAACAACTGGCCACTTCCTGGATTGATTTACCCACGGGGAGGGGGAAGGAGTGATAGGTTTTGGGTGTTAGGGCAAGAATAAGGAGAATACATAACGGGGGAATACAGAAATCCACAGAAATTCATATCAAACATCTTCCCCATCCCACCCTGCCAAAGAAATTTAATAAAGAAATTATATTCAAGCAATATGAGTTCATTTTGAGGGAAGTTCATGAGCGGGAAAGATGTCCTTGTGAGTCCAAAACATTGGGCAGAGCTGCCACGCTGGGATCGAAGCTGGTCCCTGGGAAACTACAACTCTCATGAAGGGCAGAAGTCCCAAGATCCAGCCATTCCCCAAAAGCCTCGTGGGGTCCTTGTTGTTGTCAGTGCCTTGGCAATGTGACCAAGACTTAACCCGCTACTGTGCAGTCTGGTGCCCTTGCCCTTTGCAGGACTATAAGTCACTATCCTTTATTTGGGGGGGGGGGGGGGCTCGACATCAGATGTGGGAGAAACGTCAGGAGAGAATGCTTCCAAAACATGGCAAGGCAGGCCAGAAAACCTACAACTACCCAGTGAAACCTTAGACAATACAATGACAATAAAGGTATTCTACCCCCCCCCCAATCAT